GGATCATGACCTGAGCCGAAGGCAGTCGCTTAACCAACTGAGCCACCCAGGCGCCCTCCTGCTCACTTTTTGAAAATCCATTTCTAGAAAACTTGTACAGCTTTAAAAAACAAAAGATTTATTTATTTTAGAGAGAGGGAGAGAGCACAAGAGCATGGGGGGGAGGGGGAGAGAGTGAGAGGGAGAGAGAATCCTCAAGCAGACTACCCGCTGAGCACAGAGCTGACAAGGGGCTCAATCCCAGGACCCTGAGATCATGACCTTAGCCAAAACCAAGAGTTAGATGCTTAACCACTGAGCCACCCAGGTGCCCCTAAAAAACTTTTATGAACCTGACCCCCCCCACCCCATCCACACATCTGGGTGGATCAGGCACCTCTTCCAGTGGCTTCCATACCCCTTGGCACTGCACGCGCCAAACTATGGAAATGTGTGGTCTCCCCCACCAGGGCGTGTTATGTTCCTCTCTGTATGTTCAACAGAGACCCACACACAGTAAGTGGCCGATACACCTCATTGGAGTTGGCAAGTCACAGTCTTGTTTATTTTTAAATCCCTTTTCATACATTAGGGGAAGTTGGAAGCCAGACTGGAGAACAACAGAAACACTCTGCTCACGTCTGCTTCTTTCCCCAATTACCTCCAGGAGGCTAGAAAGAGCTCCGCAGGGAGGATTCGCGACTGGCTCACTCTGGCTTCAAGTCCAAACATGTCAGGAAAGATTCTGATTGTCTCCTGGACCAACTGACCATGCCCGGGGTGGGGGTGGGGGGGAAGGGGGGTAGAGTAATGTAAAAATGTGGAAGTTCAACCTTGAACTTCATGGTTGGAATGAAGGAAGGCACATTTCCCTGGAGGAAGGAGGGAAAGTGCTGGGCAGACAGAAGAAGAGATGTCTTGCATGCCCTTGCCATTAACACCACCTGGGAGCCTGTAGGAAATGCAGAGTATCAGGCCCCACCCCAGACCTACTGAAGAACATCTACATTTGAACAGACAGCCAGGTGATGCACTTTCATATTCAAACGTGAGGAGTTCTGCTCTACACCTTCCAACTCCAGCACCGTCTCAAGAACTACTCTGTCTAGCTGGTATGGACGGCTTGGCGTGGCCACATTTCCAAGGAAGGGGAGGCTGTAACTCCTTTCCAGGCCATGGAGCAGGAGGTATATGTCAGATTGTCCTGGAGTCCATCTGTGTTGTAGACTCACCTATGAATGTTACTAATAGGCCTTTTTAGGGTAAAGAGTAAAACCATAAAAATTTATAAACCAAGAGCAGATAATCTCTTTTTCACCCAAGACCCAAGGAACTATTCCAAATCCACCAGACACCAACCACAGCTAAGGCTGAGAACTCTATTTGGCAATTT